GAATATGGTCTGTCATTTTCTTCTTTTACTTCGATTCAAACTCGTGTGCATTTCCGCTCGAGGAAATCCCTGCTTGCTTATTTCGGTCCAGACTTAGGTAGACCCCTATCTCCCTTTCCCCCTACACTCTTTTCAAAGAGAAAGAAAATTATTTCTGGCCGAGTAGAAGAAAGAAAGAGAGAGAGAGAGAGAGAGAAAGAGAAATAAAGATCTAACCTTCTCACTTCCCATCCACGTAAGATCCATTGGATCATTTCATTTCGAAGTTAAACTTTCTAATAAAATTAATGGATCATTTCATTCGAATGATAAACAATCTATATAAAGCCTTAATTCAATGTATATTTAGAAATCAATTTTTCTTTCCTCGATCATTCGATTCTCTTGCTTTTTTCTTTTTTTTTTTTTTTTTTCTTTCTTTCTTTTTGCCGAAATTCGAATTCCTGACGAACAAAATACACACCGGGGAATGAAAAAAAAAAAAAAAAAAAAAAAAAAAGAAAAAAAAATATAAAGAAGAGGAAATTATTTGAAAGAGATAAAAAATGCATTACGCGTTTCGATGTAATCGAATGTTTTTTCCTGAAATAAAAGAGTTACCTAACGAACGAGGAATGGCGTAATAAATGCTGTAACCTCTTATGAATTTGGGATAATTGCAATCGAGTTTTTTTTTAATACAATAATAATTATATTATACCATGTGGAACGCGTTATACGATTAGAAAAAATATATTTTCGATTTTCCCACTTGTAGTATTTTTTACGAACACTTCGAATATCGATCGAATAGAACTGTACACATATATATATATATATATATATGTTGGATTGTATGGAGAAACTGGATGCTGACAGCTGTAAACTGGTTTCGAGAGAACTGTGCTATACACCAGTAGTAGAGAAGTAAGTAGACGGTTCGAGAGAGAGAAAGAGAGAGAGAGAGAACAAAGCGACCTGAACGAGAGAGAGAGAGAGAGAAAGAGAGAGAAAGAGAGAGAGAGAGAGAGAGAGAGACAGACATAAAAAGTCTTACCTCTCACCATAATCGTTTCTTTTGAGAAAAATATCAATCGGTGTTCTTCGACATAACTGTATCAAGCTTTACCATCGTTTTTTTTAGATCAATTCGAACAATCTCGATTTAACAATGAAACTAACTTTAGAAAATTCCACGAGGTGTTCTTCTTTCCTTATCTGTGTTTCGTGTTTAACCTCGATTTTATTCAATACAGTACAATGAAATGTAACAGCTAATGAAAGGGACAAAGGGCAGCAGAGAAACTCTTTATCTTTCTCTCTCTCTCTTTCTCTCTCTCTTTTCCCCTTTATTCTTTAGTAGTGTCTCAAGAAGTGCGTCCAAACTTACTCGAAAGATTTATCCTATTAGTTTACCTATCAATTCGATTTGAATTACCCGCCTGATTTTACCAGATATGTATAACGAAAAAAAAAAAAAAAATAAAAAAATAAAAAACAAAAAACAAGATGGACTCCACTCGATCGTCCCTTTTCACCCACGAAGAAACTCTTTTATTATCCTCGATCGAATGTAACGTCTTAAAACATTTTTTTAATTTAATTATTTCAAACGATCTTCGACGACATTAAAGAGATCGACGATTAATAATATGCGTCTCAAGAAAATAGTGATAGTAATAATAAAAAAAAAAAAAAAAAAAACGAAAAAAAGAAATAGAAAAAAAGAAGAAAAAGAAGAAGAATTTAAGAAAAGTAAAAGATAGAAAATTTGAACTCACCATTGTTTGAATTTCGAGAGAAAACGAAGTTGGGAAGAAGAAGAAGAAAGAAGGATGTTATTTCCTTTTTGTTCGTTTTTCTTTTGAAACACAGGAAAACAAGACAAAACAAAGTACGCTCGCGAGAAAATTCGATAAAAAGTAAGACACACGACTCACAAAAATTCAAACACCTCGTCGTTTTTTAGATATTCTCTCTCTCTCTCTCTCTCTCTCTCTCTCTCTCCCTCTCGTTCGAACGCACGCGCGCACGAGAGAGAAAGAGAGGGAGGATAAGTTTTTTTTTCTTTTTCACTAATAAGAACGAACTAGCGTCGCGGCGCGAAGACGACGCAACAAGTGACAGCTCGGCTCGGCTCCGCTCGGCGCCGCGCCGCGCCGCTCTAGACGCCATTAGCTCGTGGCTCCCTCCTCGGAGTTCCTTCGAACTAATCGATTTCACTTTCCAACCCGCCCCCCCTTCACTACGAGCGTAACTACTAATTCTTTTTTTTTTTTATATTCTTTTACTTTTCTTTTCCTTTTCTTTTCCTTTTCTTTTCCTTTCTTTTTTCTTTTTCTATTCTTTTTTTTTCTTTTTCTTACCTCGTTCTACGCGTTCGATTATTTCCTTCCGTTGAGATATTTCTGATTTGTACGAACTCCAATCGAACGTAACGAAGTTTTTTGTTCGTTATCGTATCGTAAGGTTCATGTAAATAGCGATCTTACGTCCGTCTTTTTTCTTCTTGTCGTTTTATTTCTCTTTATCTTCCTTATTTTTTCTCTTTTTTTCCTTTTTTTTCTCGATGAAAGTCCGAACGATCGTTAATCGTTTTTTGAAAAACGAATGGATATCTCTTCGATCAGTAAGCGCGAATTGTACGAATCGCAACGATCTCTGGCGGTCGAAAGTTTTCATTTGGTTGGTAAAGAAGTTTGTCGATAAAAAAGACGCGCGATGTCGCCACCGGTAATATTTTCGATCTATCGACTTTTTTATTTATTTATTTATTTATTTACTTATTTAATAATTTATTTATTTTTATATGAAAATTCCCCGCGTTTTTTTTACGTCTATTACATTTTACTTTTTTCCTCTTTAATCTTTATCCAGATGAAAATTTTTAACGGTATTCAGCTCTGATAAATGTTCTATTCTTAATTAAACGATGGATGATTTATAAATTGTATGAAGGTGTTTATGAATATAACGATTTGTAAAATTTAATAAATAGTCAATTTTCATATAAACATTCTAATCACTGGTATTTCACACTTTACTAATTTTATTTCTCAAAATTTTTCTATGCATACAGAGATACATAGATATTTTTGTAATATCTAAAACAAAACTATAATAACGCGAGTCATGAAAATCTATCTTTTTATTACTTAAAGAAAAAAAAAATTCACGAAAAAGATCGACGAAGGACGAAGAATGGTAAGAAAAAAAAAAGAAAGAAAGAAAAACAAAACATGAACGATACCGTTCGAGGTCAAGAAAAGAAAAAAAGAAATAAGAGAGAGAGAAAGAGAGAGAGAGAGAGAAAAGGAAAATAAAAAGAAAAAGAAGCGGCACAAGTTCAGATTTCTCGGCGTTAGAATCTAAATTAGAAAATCAATTATATATACATACACGATCGTCACGTTCGATTCGCTTCGCATCGCATAACATTTACTTCTTTCAAATTATCGACGAATCATCGAGCATGACTACTCATATACCCCATTAAAATATTCCAATATATACGAAAGTGAGGACAGAAATTGGACGGCAAATTTCTTCACTTTGGAATAACGTCATGGCAAAAGGAAACGAAAGAAGAGCGAGTATGTTGTCCATTCGACGAGACGAAAAGGGAAAAAAGAAAGGTGGTGGTGGTGGTGGTGATGGTGGTGGGAGGAATCGTGGATTGTAGAAGGGGCTTTGGGGGAAAGGGAGGAAGGGGTCAGGGGGTGAGGGGTGAAGGGTGATACCGGCGAGGGGGGTCCTGCGGAGGGAGGGTTCAGGCCGACATTCTCGTCTACGTCGAGACACTGGTTCGCAACTTTACTTTCACTGTTTATGCACGTTTCTCGACGACAACGAATCCGATGGATTTGTGGTGCGTGATGCGAGAAACAATTTAGATCGTAAATCTTCTTATAAATCAAGAATTAATTTTCATAAAATTATTTAAAATTTTTTTAATAATGCCGCCTGTAATCGTTTTCTTATTTCACAATCATCACGTAATATCGTCGAATCGGAGATATTAGGGATATAAGAAACAAAAAAAAAAAAGCTGAAAGAAAAAGAGAGAGAGAGAGAAAAAAAAAGTAATTCGTGTAAATGTCTATCTAAATTAAAAGCAAAAGAGAAAATTCAAAAGACGAAATTTTGTAACAAATATTATTTTAGAATAATACGTACGTGTAAAAATAGACACGAGACGTGAAGATCCTTGTCCCTTGTTAAAAAAAAAAAAAAAAAAAAGAAGAAGAAGCAGGAAAATAAGCAAAGAAAAAAGAAAAGAAAAATTTTTTTACGTTAAAAACAAAAAAAACGTTCACGAATATGTTCGTTCGTTTGTTCGTTTAATCGTTTTCATTGTTTAAATCGATCTAAGTAGAAACTATTTATAAAATATGACAATTAAACGCTTCAAATACATAGATACGTACTTAGGTATCTACGCAATGCCGGATGTAACCCGTCGAAGTCCTTCGAATATGCGAATAAGGTTCTTCGTATATACGTTCAAACAACACTCACACATACGTTCAATAAAAGGAATCGAATAAAATTAAACAGATAGAAGAGAATTCCTATAGGATGAATGATCCATATAAATAAAAAGAAAAAATTTTTCATTTGTATTTCTTTGAAAAAAAAAAAAAGAAAAAAAAAACAAAAACAAACAAAAAAAAAAGGAAGAAAAAAGTAAGAAAGAAAGAAAGAAATATCAAAAGGATACTTTATGGATAAGAAGTTATTCAGGATTTTGTCGGATGACAGAGAAACATTTCCAGGATGATGATGGCACGTATTTAAAATGCCTGTGTTAGTATACGCTAGTATACGTGTCCTATGTACGTTTGTGTTTGTGATTTTGTAGGGAGCGCGGGGGGAGGGGTGGGGGTTAATCAGAAGGATGGAACAAAGTTAGCAGCAAGTAACAAACTCGTTGGCTAGCGCGTGGGAAGGATACGATCAAGTCACACGTACGAGATACGTGGATGGGATTCGGCACGAGTTGTTCTCTTGGCAGAGTGAGAGTGCCATATATATAGAGAGAAGGGGAAACTCGACTCGGCACTCTAAAGCACACAGCCTCCGCGATTGCAGTGGTGTGCTTGCTTTCGTTTTCTCTTATATATATATATACATATATATATATATATATATAAATATATATACACACCTATATATATATATATATATATATATAGAGAGAGAAAGAGAAAGAAAGAGAGAGAGAGATAAAGAGATTATTCTTGTTGCTATTTATTATTATTATTATTATTATTGTTGTTGTTGTTGTTGTTGTTGTTGTTGTCGTCGTCGTCGTTGTTGTTATCGCTGTTGTTGTTGTTGTTGCAGTTGCTGTTGTTGTTATTGTTATTGTTGTTATTGTTACTGTTGTTACGTCCTTTCTACGCGTTTGGTGCCAAAACGTTTTCGGATCGGTTTGTTAATCGTCGTTGTAAAAAAGAGAAAACATCGGGGAGAATCGACGTCGGGGACGTTTGACTTTCCTTTTTTTTTTTTTCGTTAAATCTCCTTTTTTTTTTTTTTTGTATTTTCCAATTGCATATCTCTCAAATCTCCTTTTTTTTCTCTTTTCCGAAACAACACGCATTTTTTTCCGATCGGTTTACCAGGAACGAAGGGACGAAGCGATCTTCCGACACCATGAAACTTACGCTCTTCACGTGAGTACGATATTATCCCTTCCTCCTATGTAATCCTCCTCTCCTCCCACCCTCAACGCCCCTTCTATCGTCATATCCAACCATCCGTACTCTACTACTCTTCCTCCCCTACTCCACTTTATACCGATTTCCTTCTCTATTCTTTTCCTCATTTATTTTCTTTTTCTTTTTCTCTTTTCGCTCTCATAATTATTTTCTCTTACAACGACTCGTTCGTATGAGTCCGATAACACCTCGGAATATTTCTTATTTTCTTCTTTTCTTTTTTACTTTTTTATCTTACCGATATTATCAAACTCACGATTTAACGATTAATTTGTAAGAGTAAAAGAGTTGGTAGATTAATGGTATTTAATATCTATGTTTTTTAATCAAGGCCATTTAATACGCATATAACGAATGGGTGCATTGCTTGTCGATAACTAATAACATTCTCATGTTAGAACGCACGGTTGTCTATTTCCTTTGACTTTCCATTATGGTTATGGTAATTACTGGATTCGACTTGGCCACCGTTACGAGACACGGGGAAACACGCGAAGGAAATCGTATCTAAGGTAAAAGGCCCGCTGAAAGCCCGCGTTCAGATCTCTCCATCCTTGCGTAAATGCGATTATATGTATTTACGTATGTACGTACGTATGTTATGTTTTTTCTATTTCTATCTCTCTCCTGTGCGAGATCGTAAATAGAAAAGGAAGAAAGAAAAAAAAATAAAATAAAATAAAATAAAATAAAATAAAATAAAATAAAACGAAGAAAGAAAGAAACAAAGAAAGAAGAGAAAAAACTTACGACATATCGGTTTAAAAAAAAAATAAATAACAGTGATTGGACCTGACGAACAAG